GGCGTCAATTCTATCGCTCGCGAAGGCAATCGATTCTGTCCGATTGTTCATTCTATGGCGAAATAAGAAGCTATTAGTGGTCGATGATGACGACAATGAGTTATTATCTATTTTTCGCTCAGCTATCGCGATAAAGATAGTAATCGTGACGAGGATATCGTCTATTTCTTCTCTCATCTATCGCTGTATCGATAGTTGTCACCTATTCTTGTAATTGATTATCGATGATGTATGGGTGCTCAAATGTCGCACGCGGGGTATGTGCCGGCTTCGCGGCGGCGCAAGTTGTGAATCTCGCTCGCCCGAAATTCACTAGTTGAAACGGGTGAAACGGCTGGGCGTCACGGCTTCTTCGTGAAGCCTTCTCTGAGCCTTCTAAGAGCCTTTAGAGAGCCTTTATAGTGATCTTTGAGTGATCCGTGAGGACTATCTTCTAGATAGTATCGGGAACTATCTCTTTCGTAACTAACCCTAACACCAATAGGTCTGTTATACCCTCAACGCTCTAGTACATTGCGTTAAGCCTCAGGAGTTTATGGAATTACGTTCTGGTTCTAAGTTATCCCCCTCTGTCGGTTCTGTCCGCAGAGGGAGATCTAGAGAGGAATCTAGTGCTTTTTCTCTTCCCCCTAGTAACAGGATTCCATCACCCGCTCCTGCACAATAGCAGATCATTCGGTGCCGCGACACTATAGTCACACTTCCTATGGTGGCAAGGACACGAGCTCTCACCCGATGCTGTCCGTAGTATATGGCCTCTCCTATCCAGTACGGCCTAATCCACAGAGGAGTGGTATGAATAATAGTCGTTATCCCAACTTGAGTAATAGCGAGATAATCCTATTCCATATGAACAGCGGTCATACGTGGAGCCCTTCAGGGTCTACATAGCTTCGACAGCGACAGATCCTTTCTCCCACTGACCGACCGAAATTTGTACCGCTACTATCCTTTCTAAAGCGTGCGTATGTCCTTTGGATGGTCAGACCTGAGCCGTCTACCCGTATGCCAACTCCAACGTTGAACATATCCGCCGACACACCCGACCCCAGGCTTATGACCATAGCCCCTTTGCAAGATGTAAGGTGCCCCAAGCAGGTGAGCAAGTGCGGCTATACTGAGCAATTCATCTGGTTCGATTGGGGGAATCCAACGTAATGCCCCCCCTCTGGTTACGTCTGTACTGTGCCTCCACCACCACCAAAAGATTGACACGGATGAAGGGTAGCATCTTGCTCTCTTGCATTTACTAGCGGTTCCTCAACGATCAACCCCAAGTCCCAAGGCCAGGGATGGTCAGTCTCGGCGCATGTACTGGATATTGCTACGTAAGCGACCTATCGTTCCGTATCTTCCAGGGTGGTTAACCTTCGTGAAGTCCCTGGGAAGTGTAGCACTATATGGCCAGTGGTGGAGTACCATCGAATCCAATCTCGCCGCCGTCTCGAGTGGTCGAGTCAACCTCGGATATAGGGGTCGTTCAAAAAACCGATTTTGAAACTCATCATCGTTTCCAGAATCGCTTGTTACCTGTGTAATACGATGCCATAATCGATTTTGAAGTCCAGAATTGATTCAATCAACACCGACAAATTTTCTGATCCGAAATCGATTTTGGAATACTACTTTAGAGACCATCTGTGAACTGCAGTACTATAGTACTGCTGTAGTATTAAGTCTACATGATATTGTACTGTAGAGCAGCCGTTGAAGGTCGACAATACAACCCCTCTGTAGCAGCTGTACACAGCCTCCCCTACGTATTTTATCAGTACTTTGTTGCATGTCCAGCTCTGGTGGTGGTAGCGGCGGTAACTGGTATAGAGGTCATAACAAGAACCAACAGAACTATCCTACGGTAGTACCATCTATGATCATGGCTTGAACCAACATCACCGTTGCATATTCATAACGTTGAATCGTCCTAGTCGGTAATGGATTTACTACGACTACTACTGCTGTTGTTCAGTACGGCAAGTATGGTGGTAGTCGACAACAACAACAGCAAGGGGGTGCGAAGAAACCCCAACCTGTCGTGATAAATCAGAGGACTCAACAACAACAACAGAGTAGTAGTAGTAGTAGTAGTAGTAGTAGTGACTGCGTTGTTGCCGATCACAGTTTTACTTAGGAACGTCATCACCAAGCGGAGGGAGGGGGTCCCTAACGCGGACTTCGTCCAGTGGTACTACTGCTGCCAACGAGCCAGTGGCCGATCGAATGTCAGAATTGAAGAGGAAGTTGGTGGAGAGTCGTGGAGGTAGTAGTAGGATGCCTTGGAGGTTGCTAATGCTGTCGAGGTCATCGTGAGGTCATAGCATCACTATTTTATAGTACCTTCTATAGATGCTCTACCCGAAATTGGAATACATAGGTGTGGCTGAGATGGAGCGTGTCGGTTGAACTCGATAAAATTGGATTCCCTCTCTCTCTCTCTCTCGCTCTGGACCGTTTTCGGCCAGGCGACAAACCGACAGCAAGCTGGCTTGTTTATAAGGTCGACGTACTCAGCACAAGTGGACCAGCGCTCGGCTGAGTTTTTAAATGAAAAATTGGATTCCCATCGCTACGCAAATTTGTAGCTCTCGAATAGTGTAGGGCTTCAGCGTTTGTGGCAAACCCTTTGATGGCGGTCACTTCCGATAAAAAGGATTCGTCGGGAAATCCATTTATTGTTTCTTGCTAGTGTGTTAGTGCGGTTGCTCTCTGAGGAGTATGAGAGTGATAGTTATAGTATCTCAGGACTAACTGCTGACTTGTCAGCAATGCAACCATCGGCAGAATCAGCCGCCAAGATACCTAAAGTGGAAGTTAGGAGTAGCCGAGGGAGTGGTATCACTGAGATACAGCAACAGCAAGTCCATATACACCCCAGAAGGGGAGGCAGTCGGGCCGGCTCTACCACACCTAAGGTGGGTATAAGCTCTCGTTATTTACTATCGATGTTATTGTCGCTTCATTTGGGGTTTGCTGTTGTCAGAAGTCGACAGTCTCTAGTCCGTCCCATGGCGTTCCTAAGACGGGGTTGAGGGCTCCTGCTAAGGTTGGCAAGCAGATAAGGGTGCAGCATCCACCGCCTGCGGCAGCGCACATTCGGACGGGAACAGCGATGTTACATGGAGGCCATTTGGTAGGGTTAGTGAGCGGGGGAGGATTCGAACTAGGGTTCTTTGGGAGGCGAGCGTGGTGCTCTACTATGCGGCTATGAAGGAGTTATGTTAGGTAAAGCATAAACCACAGACGACCTTATCGCCGCCGCCTCCCAAGGCCGTTGTCCATCCAACACGGCACAAGAAGGAAGCATCGCCTGGCATGAGCGACGCTGATAGCAGCGATGTTGCAGTAGCTCCACCGACGATGCCAGTTCCGCTACTCGCTGCAGGGAGAGATCACCAGTCTAAGGTAATAGGCGTGGTTAGAGTTGAGGCTTTCGGTACAGCTTATGAATTTCACAGTGCAGGGGACGACCGCTGGCTGTATAGGTCTTACTACCGGGAGTTGTCGTTGAGGCATATCTAGCTTGATTCGAGTAGGGGTGGTAGTAAAGTTACTTGTGTGAACTCTCAGGCTCCTCAGCCGAAGTCGACGCCCAAGAGCAAACCCGACGATGGGAAGGTAGTGCTTCGGGGAAGGGCAATAATCGTCGATTCCGCCGGATTTGGACTTTTCGGTTGAGCGAGCATCATCTCCCAGCCGATGCTCAGCCTCCTCCTCGTTTAGCTACTGGAGCTGATACCAGCTCGAGTGGCGTCGAGCTCGCCAATACTGCCGCCTCCAGCCAAGAGTGCGCCGCCCCCGGTAGCCGCGCACAAACCGAGTTCGCCGGTATGAATTAGATGTAATTTTATGGCGCGTGACGGAGAGTTTCTGTCTGGTAGGAGGTGCCGGTGAGGAGCGCCCAGTCGGCGATCAGTCGATTACGTACAATAGAACATCTTAGAGCAAAGAGGGCGCAGTTACAGGCTACAAAGGAGGTAGTGTTGGGGGGAATTGAACTCGATACCTCGCGATAGGCAGTAAACAGTTCTACCGTTGTGCTAGAATTTCTCGCAGGTTTCGACTCCAAAGGCGACTCATGCTGTCGCAGCATCATCTGCGGCTGAGCCTCCCACTCCACAGCCAGCAGCGGTCGAGAAGACCGTAAGTGACTGTTTGTCAGTGTGTCACACCCTGGTGTCACCAAGGCCGTTGTTAGGTACCACCTAAAGCCGTTCCAAAGGCCGATCCCCCTCGGTTGGGTACTGATGGGGGAGAGCAGTCACTGACTGAGAGGATGCTCGAAGCTGTATTGTCGCAGCTCATAGATACTCACAGTCAATGGTAGGTGCAGCATCATCATACAGCTTCGCTCCGCTTAGACTTTGTCGCATTTTAGGTTAGTTGATCACTGTGGAGTGAGTAGAGAGTCCTTGCAATCTAGTACCGAGGTAGATGTTAGTGCAATGGATCTAGCCCAAATCGAGCAGATGGTCTTTGATGAGACTTCGACTTTCGAGGCTAAACTCAAGGCCTCGGCAAGGTGATGAGGATCCTAGACGTCCAAGGGAGTTTCACGACCGTGATATGAAAAACACTAGTGAAAAAAATATTTCACGACTACTGTATAATGCGAATATCGCATTTTCAGGGAGAATTATGCCACTTAACATAAAACGGGTGAAACTTTAATATTCTGTGGGAAAATATAGTCGCTGGATTATAGCCGCCATTTTTGTTATACCATCTCTATCGTAGTCTTTTTTC